GACTGCAGTGAAAAATATATGTATACGAAAAAGGTAACGATCAATAACAGACATCTGATACTACCAAGCGTCTTTCAAGAAGTCGTAGCTGACGAACAATCGATACTCAACTTTCTTAGGAGAACTCGATAAGATTGATAACTTTTTGACAGCCACGAGTCTTTTGCGAGTGACATCAATGAATGAATACGTACGATCGATGACGTACGAGAAAAACCCGATGTAGAAAAGGAGGTCACGCGAAAAGCAGCGATATAAATTGTAATCGATTGTTTCACGGCACAAAAGGACAGAAACATCAAATACATCACCCTTGATCCACTATTATTCGGACGTTTATGTTCTTTTGCGCCGTGTTGCATGAAGCTGTCAAAGAGAGAAACATACGTTGGACAAGCTGGTATGAGATGAAGGGCATTCTGCAGCAGCGTGTCGCACGCTTTTAACAGACAGCCCTTTGTGATATTGTACACTGTCCGAAACATCGCCGTCAGCATATCTGGATCCAATCTAGCTGGTTCGTTCGTTAAATGCTCGAGCACGAGTGACAAACGGGCGACAAACGCTGTTTATCCCATTCTAATCACATATGTTTTGGGATTTGATTGGAATATAGATCTCTCGCCACCGATCTGCGAGACTGTTACATGAGTGATAAAGTTTCACTCCTGAATTTAATTCTCAAAGATTGATATTGATAAATTTTTTGCTTCTATACACAGCTTAAAAAATGTTTGCAACGTTTAAAAAAAAAGTTTTTTCGAGTAATCTCTCGATTTACTCGCGCGCATATACATTTCAAGCAACAGTAAGCGCGTGCTTCATTCTCGATTCCAGTTCCCGTTTCATTTCTGCAACGCGTCCACCTGCAAGCACTCGCGCATTTTGTTTCGCGATGGTCACGGCACGTTTACGCTTACATACGGTGAATCCGCACAGTCGTCTCAACGATCAACAGTTCAGATTACCTCGAATATCTTAGCATAGCGTGTAACTTTTCAAGCCTTTTCAAGTCTTAGAGCTGCGGCCGCGATATTTTCACCGTGCGCTTAGCACGCGATACTGTTACGATTCTCGTTTTGCGAAAACACGAGTCTTACATTAGGTAAATAAGACAGTTACGTTTATCGATAAACGTAAATATGTCGCTAAATAAGAGCAATTTATCATAACGGAAAAATTATTAGATCGACAATTGGAACGGCTTACTGCAATAATAGGCTGACCTGCAACGTAGCTGAATATGTGTGTGTGTGTGTGTATGTGTGAAATATTGGTAAAAATAGATTTTCTCATCATTTTAACTTTAGATTAGAGTTTATTTTCTCTGTATTATTCTTGTTTTTTAATTTTAAGAGTTCTTTATCTTTTGTAATTTTTCATTTTCTTTGTTTTTACAAAATGTGGTTTAGTTCTGTTGCAGTAAGCTCTCCAATTAAAGTTAATTTGCCAGAAATTTTTATTTATTAATAAATGTGATATTAACTGTTATTTTGTTATCATCTGCTTTTCTTTATTTTGTTATTTTAATTGTCAAGAGAGTTCTTATTATCTTTATTATAAATAATTATTTTCTTATAAGTTATTAATTAAATCTTTATTAAAGAAATTTATTGATGATCTAAAAAAGCTGTTATTATAATATTCTTATAGTTTTAAAATATTCTTTACAAAAGAAGATTGATATTACTTTTATATTAATTGAAGCGACTTTTATTTATTCAGATTATTGCTTTCACGAAAAATTTAATTCTATGATAATTTTGAACTCATATATTCAGTTGAACTCTGTTGAGTGAAATAAAGATTAAATACTGTTAATACATTGTGATGTATGGCGATGTAATCTGACCGAAATACAAATGTAATTATGTAAGCTGAGCATCCGATATTAGAAGGCAGAGTATTTACTCTGCAGGTCTCATTTCATATAGGAAGGCGGCCTTACGAACTGCCCCATATACCGAGGATATTTTTATCGATGAGTCGTTTACATGCGCGGCCGAAGACAGATTTGACTCTTGGACCAACGCGTTGTCTAGGAGAAAGCATGGCGTTGGTAAACAGGCCGTGACGCAATCTTTAATAGCAGTCTTGAATTATTCTTTTTTCATTGATTGAAATTATTTTCTATAAACTGAATATACTTTGATAAGGATCGAGTAATCATAACGTAGTAGATATGATCGAAAATCAAGTTTTATAATTCCATCGCATCGTAACTTGATCAACTGCATCGCGCAGTTCATTTAATGAAGTCGTATTTTTCCGCAAATTTTATATGTCGTTTGTTATCCTACGTCCACTTGTAATGACTCGGTAACGGTGAATCATCACCTGTTCGCACCGACAGATCGGACACATCACTTCACAATGTTGCATCGCGGCGCGCGTTGTCTGGATTGCCATTTCGCGCCACACCCGCGTTATTATCAGCTTGTAGATTTTTACAGGTCGCTGATAACAGTCGTTCATAACGTTTCGACTCAATGACGATCGACCTACATGCAAAGCCACGTTCGCGGGCATTGACAATAACTCATTACGGATCCGCTGTTGTTCATCCCGACATCAATCCGACCCATCCCCTATCGTCAATTACGGATCGTTACGAGTTGGCCCGACGGTCGATGATCGAGCGCGATTAGTAAATTGATATACGCGCCTGCACTCCCGCGCGCGCGCTTTTGTTTAACGGCGTTTCGCTTCATGGTGCATAGGCGAATCGTGAACGAGACGCGGACTCAGCGAGTTTCTTTTACGAAGGGGAGAAAGAAAGAGCCGGTCGGGCCTCGGGCGGGAAAAGAAGAAGAAGAAGAAGAATACGACGACGACGATGAAGAGGGAAAAAACAAGTAGTACGAAGCTAAACAGAAACGATCCGCAAGGCCGACGAAGCTCCGCTCTTCTTCGTACTCTACCCCGTCATGCCAGGCTCCTTCGCTCGTGTATGGCTTTTATTCCTAATAGATTGCTTTCTCTCCCTTGAAACATACGCACGTGAAAGTTTATGCGACGCGGAAGCCTGTAAACAAGTTTCGGTATACGCGTTCAAATGATAATTTGTTTGGATGGAAGAAATTCTGTTGAAATGCATATGATTCGAAGATTTTCTTTAGAAATTATTATAATGCCTCTGATATTGCTGTAATGTGTGAGGAGTTGTATTCAATCTTGTTTGCTATCTGCAAATAAAGAGAATACAGTGTAAAATAGTTTTGTTGGTACAGTGGGAACAGTGTTTAATAATTCTTTTTACATGTTCTCTTTTTTTGGGGGGGGGGGGAAGATTTGTCTCGATATAAAATAAAATATTTCGAAACCTTGAACTGTTCTGGTGGATAATAGGTTAATGCGAGGAGAATATTCTTGAACGGCAGAATCGGTTCATAAACAGAGAAATAATAAATGAATATCGGTGGAATCATTTTGACAACGCGGTTATGAGTTCTTTTTTTAGGTGAGATTGTAGGCGGATAGAGGAAATACACGCAAAGCACCAGACTGAGATACGATTGGATATATTCGAGGTCGTGATCGATCTGTCTTGTCCGTGTCCGACAAGTTATTTTTGTCTTCTTTCAATCAAGAAGTGAAATCCTCCACTTGTTTTTGATCATTTAAAAGTCGCTAGTCTGTACGTCTAAAATTATCCTCACAGCAGTGAGCAAACTGGCGCAAAATTCGTTTATGCAAAAAAGCTAGAGGATATTTCACATATTTATAAGGCATAATTTCACGTTGATATGATTATTATGTGTATGAGAATTGATGTTACGCATGGGTGACGTAAAAACTTTAAATATCGCTGTCGTGATAATCAGATAAATTCTCAAGTGCTGTGATCCAATCGAAGCGAGACTCAGTCCCGTTCCTTAAGGATCAAGAACCTCTAAAATGCGTTGTCGGGTTCATGGGTGCTGAACGCAGCGCCGAGAGTACTTGCACGACCTCGACTTACCGCTTTCAAGGTAGTTAAGGTACGTGCCTTGCGTGACGTTACTTATCCAAGGTCGGAAGATGGCTTCAGAAATTGAAGCTCGCGTAATTTTCTTATTCTTTGTATTTCGTATAAAACGATTTTTGGAGTCGATTGAATCATTCAATCTAATCTCTTTCCTCTTCGATAGACAACACTCACATAACACGCAATTTTTTTCAGTTATTGCATTATGTGTATACGACTATCGATTTATTTATTTGATTTATTTTTTTATATTTGATTGTAAATTTGATCATTAATGCTGTAGCTTATATCTTTTATCTAGATTGGCTTGGTTATTTGAGAAAAATTTATTTGTTATGAATAATAAAAAAGAATTGTTTTATTTTACTGAACGTAATATGTATGTATTATTTTTATATATTTACATCAATATGATTACATATGATTTGATCTAATATCGGAGACTTATGTAGTTTATTATTATTTATTATTAGTTATTTAATATAATATATATATATATATATATCTTTAATATAAAATATGAATTTTCATACGACTTACTCTAAAATAAGATTATTAATTCATATGTCAACGATGTTAGTACTGCGCAAGCAGGCGTAATATTCACTGATCTTCTTGGCCCTGAAGGAGTTAAAGGTCAACATGCTGACGTTTCCAGTTTGGTCGATACGTGTTGCATCTACAGGTGCACCTTAACGAGCGACTTCCGATTCGCGACGTTTATAATTCTACCTGCGTGTTTCGCGATTCGTAACGGTGCTTTTTATCGTCATTGAGAAATTCAAATCCGCACGGGGGAGATTAATCGCATTTTTCTCTACGAGAAGAGCTCGTTTGTCATTTTCTTAGGAAAGTGTTTATGCTTGTTTGAGATAAAAAAAAAATAAATAATGAAAATGTAATAAAAGAAGAGATAAAAGAAAATTGATTGTTTAGCGTAAAATAATGATATTCGACTCTGTAAAATAGCGTATTAAATTGTGTATGATTTATGCTTTTTGCTTATACATTTTCTATCTGTCTTCTGTTACAGAATCCTGTATGTCGACGAAAACGAGAGAGACACTACGCAGTTGTTAAATATGTCGAAGATTCACCAAGATATTCTTCCGCGAAGATATTCCACGTTCTCCGTAACTTTGCAGTTTACGTATCGTGCGTGATGCATTCTGTAATATCTGAAAAGATTGGAAATTTCTTCGTGAAAGAAGAATATGCAACGCGTTCTATGAACACTGATAAGATGATAGAACGGCTCGTCTTACAAATAATCGACGCGGTGTCGCGCGTATATCATTGAAAATCGAAGATTGCTCCCTTCGATTGGGGGTGGCGGCGATGTTCAGGAACGAGTATTTAAGCAGGACACGGAACTACGCGAGAGCTGTTAAGAAAAGGACCGTGGTATAGTCTTACGGGCTATTATGACGGACTACTTGGATCCACATTTTGTTCGGGCTCTTTGCCGTGATCCTGAAAGACGTACCCTCCAGGTGAGTAAATAATACCTGTTCCCTACATGAGGTTTCTTCGTGAAAATCGAATCAAATGGAGAGACACGCCTGTCGATTTTGCGAGCAATTTTTTAAGCATAAAATCTATTATTCATTTGATATTTGTCTAACGGATGTAGCGTACAATTATAAGTGTGTTGTATGATCCATGCGACTACACATATATATATATATTCAGTTTTGTAAACGCAAACATTCACAACGGCGTAAAGGTTAAAGAGCGTCATCGGCATCTTGGGGCAATGCTATCTGAACTTTCGAAACTACCTTCTGTTACTCTTACGTAATTGAGATAATGTTCGCCGTATGGATCTTCCGTGGAACGATAACTATTTCATATTTATCAAAAAAAGAAGAATACAATAAAATATTAATGAGCTTAAACTCGAGAGAGTTTTTATATGAATATGAATAAAATACGAATGTATTTCAATTATTATGCTTCATTAATGCTTGCAATAAATATAATTGATATTAGAGTGATGTATATAGATAGATCTTACGTTTTTATTTGAGAAAATACGTTTTTATTTTTTTGTAAATCAACGAATATGACGAAATGTCGGTTTTTAAGTAATTAACATTATTTCTTTTTGCGACTTTGTACCGTGAATGTTGATTAAAAGTTTGTTTGAAAAATATATATGAATCGTACTTGTTTACAAAATATTTCCGCGGTTCAAGTTTTACTTCATTTCTCCGAGTTTTAATTAATTAAGTATTTGTCTTTTGCATTATTTAACCGAGCAGAAAATATGAAATTTTCTTTAATTTCTTAATCTTTTGCCTGATTTCATCGTTCTTTTTATTAATTAATCAATTATCGCGTTTATGTATTGAATATAATAATATATGTGTGTGCGTAGTGAAGTGTAAAAAAAGTGAGATAGAAAGAGGTACACACGACGAAGTTACTACTGGGCAATTCGTTTTCGTCGAATATTTGCTTTGGTTGGATTCCATGTTACCTGCATGTATATGAAATTTTTAACCATTTAGGATAATAAAAATTTATTATTTGGAATATTCGAGTAATAATATACATATTTGTGCATTTTATTATTCTTCGAAAATAATAGATGGAACAATATTTCCTATGTATGCTCGACACTGAACACTGTCGCGTGACATCGGCATCGCTTTATAAATCAGTAAGAAGTAATCCGAAGAGAAATGTATCAACGGTACATGAAGAGTGTTTCCATGAAACACGTGCATCGTAGATCGTGTAGACTGATAATAGTCTTAGAAAGTATAACAGCAATATATTCTTTGCACTGCTAGGTCGTGAACATCTCAGATAGTATACGCGTGCGACTACGTGTATAAAGAGAAAGAACACTCTCTTAATTACGAGGTCGAATCTCTGGGAACATCTTTCTTTCGATACAAACGCAAACAAACTCTCAAACGTATGTAACGTTTCTCGGTACGAGATTAATTCATACTTTTTTTTTTTACAGATTAGAAATATATACATATATACAAATATACAAATATATATGTATGCGCATATATATTTTTTTAAATTTGTTTGTGAGATAGTATTATAAATTTCCGGCTAATACAGAAGAATGCTATTTATCCGGATAGAAATTTTCAGTCCCCTACAAAACTCGTTTTATCGGAACGCGGAAATCAATGATTTGTCGTGTTTATACTAATCACCATCACGACGTGCACGATGCCGGTCAATACACTTTCTTAGCAAGTTTCGACAACACTTTACACCATCGTTAATGATCCGAGGAGAGTCTTCGCTAGTTCTCGTTCTCCATCGATGAATTACTTGATATATACGTAACCTTTTTGCGAAAAAGTTACTTCGTGGAGTCTTTATTCGAAACAAGCTATTAACCGACAAATTGCTAAGTGAATCTTGGAAAGAATTTTATGAAAGAAAAAAAGGCTAAAAAAATATCGTATTTTTAAATATTTTTTTAACGTATCAACCGCGCGTTTTTAGAATTTTTGTATTTATTGAAATAATTCAATGTAATATGAAGAGAGCTTTATGTATAAATCCTCGTTACATTTAATTGTCCAGTTCTTCGCGAATCTCGTGTTCTCCGTTACTTCGTTTATGTCAGCGACATGATAAAACAATTGTTATTCAAATAACACGCTTTATCTCTGTATGCTTGCGTAAAGAGAACTTGATGATAATTTATAGTCTCGGAAATGCCTCATACGAAGAAAAAGCAGCGCACGAATAGATAAGATATAGTGCGCATTAGCTTTATGCGCTAGCGTTTTCTCTAGACGCCACTACCTAGCACAAAAATTTTGAAGATGGTGGTTTCTGATTGTACGGCGACGACGGCGTCGCGACTCATAAACTATGCATAACTTCGTAACAGTCAAAAACTTGGTTCACGATGTGTGCGGACAATGCTCTTGACGGTAATAATAATTCAGATTTACGTTCGCGAGTGGATTTCCTTTAAAATCTCACGGGAGACACGTACGGGAGTCGCGCATCCTCGTAAGATCCATACGCGAAGGCCGTCCGGTGTTCGCTCCACTTTTCGTGCGAAAAAGGAAGAAAAGAGTCCGAGATCGCGCGCGCTGGCAAAGTCGAGCGAGAGTCCGCTCCCTTTTGCGTGCGAAATGTTCTCAGACCCAGCGGCGTCTTCGAGATACTTAGGCGTACACGTTCGCATATTTATAATCTCGTTTCGACTCCCTCGGGAGTTTGTCGGGCTACGATGCGCCACATCTGGCGACACTTAATTCCAGTTTTATAAATCCTCCCGAGTTCTCTCGCGTTGTGATACGCGGCGATTCTGTACATCTGAGAGTTGAGACATAATAGTAGACCTCAAGTTGAAGTTTAAAACTTACGTAATTACGTGAATTACTAGGATTTATAAAAAGTAAAAACGAATTTATGGTGTAAAATGTGTAAGAGTGCTTATTGTAGAATTTGAATTAATAACCCTATTTTAATATTATTTTGTTACTCTCACAAGTAATTCTCGGCCAGTCAGCAATTGATTATATTTTTATTTTTCTCAAAATGTTTGCTTAAATATAAGGATATGCACGCGGCATGCACAATATAATATTTCGAAATGAACGCGACTGAAGCTTGTGATATAAAAAGCAATTGCAGTGTGTTGTAGTAAAAACGCAAAAATCAGATATACTGAAAACCGCTTTTACACTCCGCTGTATACATCACGCGTGTTTCGAATGTAGGCTGCATAATTCGTTCGTAATCGCATGCGAAAATGTAATTATCGCGGTGAGAGACATTTTCGGAATTAACCGAATGAAATTGGTTCGGTTGTGCGCTTCGAGTCGACAGGCGGCGGTTCGGGTCGGTGCGGCCACGGCGTAACGTTTCTCGCGCGATATAGCGCTGATTGCGGTTGGCGTTCGCAAACAACGTAGACGAAACGGCGCCGACGTGAGTTGGCCCGAGAACTGGAAACGCGTGTACGTCCCGCCGGGATGGATGGATGGATGGATAGATAGATAGATAGGCAAGTTCGATCAGCGATCCAGCGTGAAATTGTGCGACGACCCTACGCGCGTATCTAACTCGGAGGTGACTCGAGGGTAATTAGATTTGCGATAATTCGGTATATGGATCAAAGTTGCAACGCGTGAACATGAGTGTTATTGCGACTCAGTACATATATACAAGATATATAACGCAAGTTTAGACTATTAACTTTGCTGTCTGCTTGTAACTTTTCTTTTCAAAATGTTAAAACATGCAATAAAAATTTAGTATTTAAGACATTAAAGGAACAATATAATAAGATATTGAAAAAAAACATACCGAATTTATACTAGATTAAACTCAATGCGCCGAAATCAGCTTGGCACATAATCAATGTGTTAATTAAGAATCATGTACTAAACGTTAGATACGGAAGTTAAAGATGCGCGAACCAGCTTCTGCAGAACGTGAAACGGATGAAAATAGCGTACAGTAAATGCACGGTATACATTTGTTTGTTTATTCGCGAGAATTTATAGAACACTTTTATACACCGATTCACCGATTCGTCGTTACTGATTCACCGGCCGATGATTTCCTTTGCGTGTCCTACATAGATCGCCCTGTAAAGTAACAAGGCAAATTAGGTTCGTGACGATCACTTTAGCTCACGGCTGCAATTTTCTGTTAAAGTTAACACGATGGTCGTTGCGGAAGATGCACGTGATGATACCGATTAGAAAACACATGTGCGGCAATCCTTTCGCGGACTTTAATTTCGCAGATCCGAACGAACGGGCGAATCTCTTCGAATCCAAACGTCATTCGCATTATTTTGTTTCCCCATTCTGTTCCAGGACCTGCAGATCATATACTATGGCCTACTGGGTCTGGAGGCGTTGCGTCCGTGCAGAGACTCCGTTCTCCGCGGTCTCTGCAAAATCGTACGTTACGAGAGACATCATGCGAACCATGTCCTCTATTAGTAAGTATTTATATCCTTTTATATGTTCCGAAAAATATTGAATTAAAATGTCAGTTTTGTATCAATCATTTTCAGTTTATTTTCGAAGAAACATATAAGACACTTGTATATTGTTAGTAAGATACTTGTAAAATTGCATATTAAATATTATAGTTTCACACTATCGATTATCATCAAGCAAACATAAAAAAATATATTTTATTAAAAAGATGCGTTTTAACGAAATGTGCTGTAATTTGAAAAATTACAAGAAATTCGCAAAAATTGAAGTATATATTTGTGAAAGAACGAGTCACTGTACATATATATGATCCAAAGTTTCGTTATTGTGGAACTTTACCAGGATAATCTGGGAGAGTTGCCAGTTATTGATTTCTTTATTTACCAGCATTTCTCTATTTGCGTTTTATTTTAAAATTAGAGCAACTGAAGATATTTTTGGCTTAAAAGGATTGGTGCATTCGGATGTAGGACAATATCTTCTTATCTTGAAAGTGAATATAATTGAAATTGTGTTAATTTAATTTCGGGATAAATTAATAATTAGAAGAGTTTAGGTTCGAGTGCTCTTGACGAATAATTATAGAAGAGCTAGGGTATAAAAGAGAAGGATGTCAAACGTATATATGCATTGTAATCGAAAATGAAAACCGCGCGGTCATTACGTGTTATTTAAGTCATTTAAGAATTTATTGTTTAAAAAAATATATGAATTGAATATTACAAAACTTGAGTAACTTTTTTGAATCAGTTTTATTCTTTATTATCGAAAGCGCGAGATTAAATGTGTAAAATATATAGATATTCTATATTTAAACATTCATGAATGGGTGAATTTTAAAGATTTTTAAATCGAAACTTATAAAATATTAATTATAATTTTAAGCATTCGTAAGAAAATTGCGGAAAATAGAATTTAAGAAAATTCTAAGATGTTAATTTATGGAATAATTTACGAACGGGGCTATGCTTGCGTATGCAATATACGTATGTATGTATGTACATATATCCATACATACATACATGTGAAAACGTAACAGCTGTACCTATTCATTGTATGTATGTACCTCCAGATGTAACTTAAATCTTACAGAAATCTTCTTTATCGACAACATAATGCCGCGAAATTCTCTTATCGAGTCGCGATATTCTCATGTATCGTGAGAGAAAGTTGCAAAGTCGTAACTAGATGTCGCTACGAGCTGCACTATTTCTTTGCGAAAGAAAGATGAATGGTGTGCGAATCGTCAGGTGATTAACGAGAATAAAATAATCAAGTGTCCGTTGTTCATCGATTTAGACGAGCCACGCGGTCTTCTGTCAAACACAAAGGTGTGGAACGCTAAAGTATTAAAAATATCTTCACTACTATACAACACGCCATGTCTAAACGCGCAAATTTTAGACCAATTTGGTTAGTCAATTACTCAATTTATGACGTAGTATGTATATACATACATACAAGTACTTTTTATTATATGGTCAACTTTAAATACCTTTTGTTGAAAAATTATTATAACCTCGTCATTTTGGGATATTAGGATTTTTATCTCAAAATAATCTGCGATCAACAGTATTACAGTAGGTCTGAGACAGCTTGTATAAAAATTTATTTACGCAGTATTGAATATATAGACCTGCATCTCTAATAGTGTTATATATGTATATTTTTAAATAAAAAAAATTTTTACGAGAGAGATGATTAATAGAGGGAAGAATTTTCAATGCAAGAAATTTAATCTGCGATAATAAAATACAATAAATTTGATTTTGTTATTTGCATTGATTGCTCTGTGAATAATCTTGTTTTCAGTTTACAACTCAAAACAATGTTTACACAGTTTTTCGATTTACTTGTTATAAATAAATTTATCCATGTACATATATCGGAAGTAAATAGAATGTTATAATTTTCAGCACTGGCGAGTTGGCTACAAGTTGGTACATACTTCTCTCCGGCTCCGTGTTTATCGATGGATCCATGTTCCTCCCCCGCTCAAGGTAGGATTATGCAAATTTAATATCATGGAATGATATGTTTATTTTTGTCTCTCACGAGACAAAAAATCTTTTCTTCTGGAACGATTTTATCTCTCGTTCTCATTTTTTTTCTATAGTCAGATTCGCGGCGTGAAAAACGTGAGAAAGCACGATGAACTTTCTCTTGACGTATGCTCGTTTAATTGACTTTTTAATTATTCGTCGCTATTCTGGTCTCACAGTTACGCGCGAAAATTGAAATAGGGAAGAAAGGTCGCGTATATTTCTAGATGTTCAACTGACATTTCCGTAAAATGAAGGCATTCATAATCCGATATAGGTCGCATAATCATAAGGGAACATTTTGTTGTGGAAGATTTGTTTTTTACGAAAATGTATGCTATGGACACGATAGTAATAATGCACGTATAATGCACGAAATAATAACGTGCTTTATTCCAGCCAGATCTCCACATGCGTAGCAATTTTTTTCCAACAATATGACGTTGTATCTTTTTTTTTTTTTTTCCTTTTTAATATCACACCAAATGAGTTTCACATGAGAAATTTAGAAATCGATCACGTAGTTTCGTGTGGATACTGGGTATATTTAGACATCAATTGCACTATATGTGTAACAATGTTCTTTTGGAAATTTGTAATAAAATCTTTGAAGGAAAGATCAGATTATGTAATTTGCCTCAATTAAAAAATATTCCACGCTTGTGTTCGAAAAATTGCTTTAATTGTTTCGAATCAGAAGATTGTTTTTTTCCATAACTGTGAAACTTATAAAAATAATTTACTGAAACGATAATTTAATGAATGAATAAAAATTGGATTGAATTTATTACGTATATTATGGAAAATTACAAGTTTTCTTTCCTCGAAACTTTGTATATAATAACATCTCATTTCACTGTTCTCCCACGTTAAACTCGACAAACAGAGTTTTAATGAGCTTATAAAGCTTATATCGTCGCGATTAGGGATGTTCGTCATAATGCAACTCAGTAGCTAATGGATTAATGATCGTGTAATTCGTGCGATGTTATTTCGAGGCACAGCGTATGTCGCGTTGCATGCAAATGTAGAGTACTCGTAAATTGGCCTCTCCGTCAGGGTTACGGTCATAATTTTCTCTCTTCAGTATCCGCTCGGCCGCGGAAATTTGTATTAATCGTACAATTCTGAGATATGCAATAAGGAAATAAATTTGAAATTTTTTATAAGTTTTTTTTAGTTTTTAGCGCTTAGTTATTCAAGAGGACAACGATTCTTCATAAAAATTATATACTTCTTATATTTAGGAAACGGAAAAAATTCGTGCAAATATCTTATCTCTGATTATTGGCGAATCAGATTTCGAAATTGCAGCATATATTAATTTAAAAAAAAAAACTGTTTCAAGTCTATAAAAGTGATTCAGAATTCAGGTTTTGAACGTACTAAATAAAGACTATAAAAAAGGATTAATGTATAAGACGACATTGTTTAAAGAGATAAGCTAGAACTTCCGTGTTTAACGTAACTGCGATATAACTAAATCGATTTTTATTTTGTTTCTTCCGCTTAAAGAGACTGTTTAAGCGGAAGGCACACGCTCGTGCACGATGGGTGCTCTTCTTTACTGGCGCGCGATGCCGCTCGCGGAAAAAAAAGGGAATGTGGAGCGCTTATTATCTCCGGCCATCATACGCTCGGCTGCCGCTTGGTGGAACGGGACGCTCTTTCGCGTTGCATGCGCTGATGTGCATAGACGTGCGGACGACGACAGAGATGCGGCCGACCGCGCGCGCGAGTATTATCATAAGAGAAGCGCACACACTGCCCGATTCTAACAAATTAATCTCTCTACGACCGTTTTAATGTGCCGTTTCCTGATTCCTCCCGTCCCTTCCCAAGTCTCTGGATCCTCCCGATAATAGAGCAGACGTCGCTCTAGCATGTCCACGAGATCGCAATGTATTTCCGAGGGAGGGAAATTCTAGGCGACGTTCTGGATATGTGTATACGTGTACATGTGCGTGTGCATTTCCACGTTCCACCTTGGTTGAAGAAAAGAGAGAGAGAGAAAGGGAGATATACGTTTCATGGTGCAAACGAGGGCCGCGCTCTGGCATCCCATGAGCTGCTTCGTTCCCCCTTCTCCATTCTCAGTCCGTACGTAAAAATCTGTCGGCGAACGTGGGGCGTGGTTACGTGGGAGAGAACCTTCTCCTCTCGTTCCCTTCGGGATTTCCCCTTACGTTCCTCACTTCCTTTCTCCTTATCTGTCTCTTTTTCACATTTTAACTCCGCTCTTTCCCACCGTCTTTGTATCTCGTTTTTTCTCCATCGATCTTTCGTTCTCCGTCTTTTTCCCATTACCGGTGTCACCATTTCTCGCCTCTCTACGATGATGAAATGACACTTCTCTCGTTGTCTCTCAATCTCGCGTCTTTTTCTTCCTGTCTATATGCTCATACATTGTATCTACGTTTTTTTTTTTTACTTATTATCTTGCGTGCAATGCTCTAAGAAACTATATACATATACACTATACACATTCTTATGTATATAATGAGTTCTACTATTCCTTTTCAAATTTTTAATTTATTATTTCCGTGAAAAATTTGGTCTTTTCTGTTATTTTTTTTTTTAGCTGTATTTAACTGTATTTAGCTGATTACATTTTATATTTTACGTTTTTTTCTATTTTTTTCTGTTCCTAGTTCTTCTTTATTATTGTGTTTACGTTACTTAATAGTTCTTAATTCCGACTGTGTCTCTCTCTTTCTCCCCTGTTCCGTAGTCTCTCATTTCGCTGGTCTTGATCCTCTTTGTCGTTCGTGTCGAAAATTTACGAACTCGCCCGAGAGGTACTTCGGTATAAATGGCAGAGAAGAGATCGGCCAGGTTGAAGAGCGAGGATGAAAGGGAGAAGGACGAGGATATCCTACTTAAAGCGAGTAGCCTAGTGCGACAGAGATGGAATTAGAGAGCGAAGTAGACCGAGAGAGAGAGAGAGAGAGAGAGAGAGAGAGAGAGAGAGAGAGCAAGAGAGAGAAAGAAGGATAAAGAGTATCGATAAAGTGAGAAAGGCTGTATGTGCAGTGCTGTATGTACTACTCATTTAATCTATACCATCGATATCTAATTTTTCAATTTAATTGAGGAATAATAATCCACAAAATGCGAAATATTTTATTTTGTGAATTTTTTAGCGCCATCAAATCATCGATTTTATTTTCCAAAATTATCGCATTACATTCCTCGTATTGTATAAATTAGAATTTTAATTATTATAATTACAGTAAAACAATATTTCAAGTAAAACATCCGGAGTTTTATTATCAATTTTAACTTTGCATTGAATTATTCAGATTTAATCATTATTACAATTTCTTTTTTATCATTATATTTATCAGTATGCATGTACCTACATGCGTTAATTAACATTTTTTACGATCCGAATGCAAAGTCCTGTGTGCTATAAGATATAATTCGCTCTATAATGTCACGTCGACGCAATTTGAATCGGTCAACTGATATAAAAACAACACGTAACACGATCGCTATAATGTAGCATCGACGCAATTTTAATTGGCATGTCATATCGAATAAACTGCGCCGTACAATGCACTGCCATACAAGCAGCTCGAAAATAGCATTAGTCAAAATAAAATTATGTAGCGGTAAAGTTTTACGTAATGTCCACATTACACAAAAGCATGCAATACTCTAACAACCTATTGTTGCACATACAATTTCGATTAATTATGCATCATCTCATGCGAAACTAAACGTGGCACAATATGTTTCAATTTAATCACACACACACACACACACACACACACACACGTCGCTAAATTTTTATTTATATATATTTATTGATTCGAATCTCTGACATTTAAAGTATATAATAATGAAATTCAAACGACGATGAGCGAAATACAATCGGCAGTGCAATAATTTTTGAGAGAATTTCTGCGAAAGCTAAACTAGAAGGAATGATATTGGAAGGAATAAAGATAGGAAAAAAAGCAAATAATAATTGAATTCCGAAAGTGAACAATATGAGAGTAAACTGAATTCGGGCATAAGGAATTAATCGGTTGATCAACTATGATTTATTTTATCACCATTTTAGGTAAGATTATTGTATCGTGCATATTCCCGTTACGAAACATATTATTTCGATAATGGAATTACATGAGAAGCATGACACATAGGAAAAATATTTTTGAAGAATTATACGTCTCTTGAGCGGTTGAGCGTAGCAGCATTATCTTACGAAAGCACCCGACTAGCGATGATAGTTTTCTACGTCGCGCCCACATCCTGTAAATACTCATTGGTGGTTCTCCACGGAAGGAGTCCTACCTGGCTCGCGTACGCCGGATACGCTCCTGGCCAACGTGAAAGAGAGAGAGAGAAAGAAAGAGGCCGGCCTCACCTACCAAGAGAACCACCAGTCTCGTCGAGAGTTCCGTGGCGGTCGGCGAGCGTTGCGATTAATAGCGACTGCACCCGCGAATTGCATTCCGATCTCGCGATTTCCAGTCCGGAGCCCCGCGTTCGGAGGATTACTCTTTCTCTCTTTCTCTCTCTCTCTCTCTCTCTCTCTCTTTCTTTCTCTCTCTCCCTCTTTTTCTCTCTGGAGAGATGCGATTGCGCCGGTCATAAATCGAGTCGCACGGGGGTAACTTCTAAGCCCTAACGATGGACGGTGTCGAGACGGTGTCGAGACTGTCACTCGTTCGATGGTACTAGTGTCGGAGCGCGAGACGTGTGCCGAATATCGGCGCGCCGCGATCCGATCGATATCGATGAATTCGTCCCCCCGCGCTCGTGTCCTTAAGTGATACATACCAGTTCAAAAGTGACACCTTCGTAAGTGACGCTTTCGCAAATTTACGATCGCGCACTTTCCGGTTTCGGAAAACCGGATGTAATCTCGTTTTCTTGCTTGTAAGTGACGTAATCGCGCCCGAGGAGACGGAGCACAGTTGTGTCGCGCGCCATTGCGTGAAACGGAG